TATTGGATGGTAAATTGTCTCCACGAAAGCAGAAGATGACAGCAGAGAGCCGTGGAAAATTTTTAGGGGAAAGGCCTTTGGAACGAAGCTCCAAAGAGTCAAGTTCATCTGTTGCTTCTGAAGAGGCCATTCAGCTTCAGTACAACCTTTCAGATACATTTACTAAACCTGCATTAGATGTGAGTACAATACATCTTACTTGTCTGCTTTCTCAAATGTTTATGTATGCAAGTTTTTTGCGAATCTAGATTGTAATGTCCTTGGTTTACTTAAGCATTGCCTTAGCTACCAATAGTTTTTCATATTTTTATGAATGAATGAAAGAACTGGGCTGTTTGTGTTGCTCAAGGAAAGTTTTAGATTTTCTCACTTTGTTTTATGTGTTGAATGTAGGGTGAGATGCTGGAAGTTGCAAAACCCTTCAACGATGATCCTGCAAAGCAAGAAAGGTTTGAGCGGTTTCTCAAGGAGAAATACCAAGGAGGACTTCGATCTACTGAGTCTGGTGGAGCTAGTCATATGTCAGAAGCAGTTCGTGCTCGTGAGAGATTAGACTTTGAGGCTGCAGCTGATGCAATACAGAAAGGGAAGTGGAGTAAAGAAAGCAAACTCTCCACATCACAGTTCATGGATTTTTTATCTGCTGGAGCCATGCAGTTTACTTCTGGGGGATCAGCGGTACGTTTTGCTGGTGTTTTTCAGATTTTGGTTTTGTAAACATGTATTGTTATTCTTTATATAAATAATTAATTGGTTCTTAATTTTTGAAAACAGCAAGCCAAAGACACTCAAACTGAAAATTCTATAAAAAAGGAAGTTCGCATAAAACGCACAGAATATCAGTGGCGTCCCTCACCTATTTTATGCAAACGTTTTGATCTCATCGATCCTTTCATGGGGAAGGTGCAGTTGAATACTCTTCTCTTTAACTCCTGCTCTCTCTCTCTCTCGACATTTTTCTTAACACCATACCTTAAACATATGATACTGTCACATGCAGCCACCACCAGCACCCCGGATGAAGAGCAAAATGGAAACTCTGATTTTTACATCAGATTCTGGAAAAGACACAAAAGCAGAAGAAACTGTAATTGTAAAGAGTGACTACATCCCTGTTGTTCAATCTAATGCCCAAGGAATAAGCAAAGATGTAGTTGACGAGGAAAGCGCAGTTGAGGTTGAAGTTGACAACGTCGAGAGGCCAGTTGACCTTTACAAGGTGCTTTAAACACAAATTCAGTGATTTGTTTTTACATGCACATGCTAGACGTAACACATGCCTAATATTAATCTTCATTTGTGTGCAGGCTATATTTTCTGATGACGAGGACGATGATGAGGATACCTCTGTTTCCAACGGGGTGGGTAATCCAGAGAAGAAGGTTGAAGCAGCCAATACAACATTAAACCGTTTGATCGCAGGCGACTTTTTGGAATCCTTAGGAAAAGAACTAGGCCTAGAGGTTCCCCCTGAGCTGCCCTCATCAACGAACAAAGCCAGGACTTCTTCGCCTCCCAAAGGAGCTGGTTCAGGATCTTCCAGTATCCTGCCAGTTGATAATAAGCCGCCTTCCACCCATGAGATTCCGCGCAGACCAGAAATTTCTCAGGAGGCTCCGCGTGACAATGCTGAACCTTTTAATGGTAACTTGACGGGTAATTCAGCGAGAAGCAATGGCAAAAACGCAGAGATGGGTGCTTTGGGAAATCAGTTTGACAAGATTATTTTTCGAAAAGCACATCAAGATGATAGGAAGGACAAAACACCCTCAAGCCGGCACCACAATGTGAGCAGCAGTTCACCATCAGAAGATGAAAGGAGCAGAAGGCGCTCTAGGGGACATCGGCATAGACACGGTGATTCAGATAGCGATTCATCCAGCGATCATCAGGACCGTCACCGTTCTAGGTCCAAAGTTAAGAAGAAAGGATCCTCTCGAGAAAAGAGCAGTAGTAGCAGAAAACGCTCGAAGCATCATAAACGTCGAAGCAGAGACTCCCCTGAGAAGGAACGTTCAGAATCCAGGAGAGACAAGCACAGAAGGCGAGATTGAACGCGACGTACTACTTCCTTAAACAGTGGAACTATTTGCACAAGTTATGGAATGACGGCCGTATGACAGCCCATGTTCCGACGGCGCTCGCCTTTCGAAACTTCTAATTGAAATTAGATTGTTCTTGGAGAGCAGGATTCATCTTGTATGCGTAAGAGTTTGAAACATTACTTTGGATGTAATGTTGGGTGGAAGTAATGTTGTGTCATAATACATCCAGTCAGAATTCGTATCATTGAAATTTGATTCCACGGTTACAAATAGAGACCCACTTTAAAAGTTATAATAACTTCAGTCGTTGGATTAATTTTCAATGACACGGATTTCCTGATTGGATGAATTAGGAGGAAAGGATTTGGAGATGATCTCTTTCCTTGTCTTTGAGGTAATATATGTACAGTTAGTGGGTATATTTGCAAAATTAGAAATTTCTACGACTCGAACGCTCGCCCATGAACCAGAGAATGAAAAAGTTGGTATATCCTTAGCAAAATAAAACAAAGTGTAAAGAAACAAGATTCGTGGACGGTTATATCCCTATCTCAATCTCACTTTAACTCGTATCCCTATCTCAATCTCACTTTAACTCGATACGTAGTTCTTATTTAGGTAAACTAACGAAAAAGATTTAAAAATTTAGAGTTTTAACATTAATGATAAAATAAATGATAAAATGAATAGTATCATGATTGATTTTTTTATGTAATAATATAATATTTTGTTAAAATAAACCGTATATGAAGTTTTTCGTTAAAATTCTGTTTTTATTTCTCTGTCCTACTCATCAAATGCTGACATTACGGGTGAGATAAAGAACGGAAGATATTTTTAGTCGATTACATTCTAGAATCTTCTTACTTTTGGCAAAGTAGAAATCTCTCAATGAAAGAGAAAAGGAAAAAGACTTTGTCGTATATTATATGGCCCACAATTAAGCCGAGTAATTATAACTGTTGGTCAAACTTAACAGGCAAACCTGCACTGATTAATTAATCAAAGGTAAATTGCCATCTGAACTCCACAAATACTTTCTCAGTTTGCATTGACGGCCTGAATTATGTTTTTATGTAAATTAATTCTCTGAATTATTTAAAATTAATTAATTAATTCATTACAGTTAGATTTAATAAAGTTTCATTCTTTACCGTCATGCTGGTACAAATTTACTCTCAGTAGTGATTCATATGTCTTTCACGTGTTAGTATTTAATGACAAAGTGAATTAAATTTCATCTAATCAGTTAAGGGTTAATTAACTAATTATTAATAGTTTAAGAAATTAATTTACTAAAAAAATAATTATAAGAGTTAATTTTGTTAAAATAATAATTCACGGAGTTAACGGCAGTTTGCTCTCGATAAATAGAAGAGCATGTGATTGGTTTTGTTTAACCCTCCCATCTCACTTTCTAAACGACAGACGTTTTTAATTATTTTTGGTCGCTCTCATTTTTCTTTTTTTTTTTTAATTTTTTTTAATTTTGCTTATTTCCTCTGATAGCTCCGTTTCAGTCAGCTACCACTAGCTTTTCCTTGCATATCACATTTTTTATTTGCAGGAATATTTTTGCTTCATTTTTATTCAAAAGATCCCAAATTACAATAATATTTTTTTTATTTAGAAACAAACGTTATTATCTACACTAATAAGGAAGGGGTGAGTTTAGCTTCACAATGAGCTAATAATAATGTAGTTCAAAATCGTAAATCGCGTTTAGTAAGAATCGAACATAAGACATCTCACTTACAAGTGAAGAACCACTAGACTGTAGAACTAGGTGGCAAATTACAATAATATTAATTAGATATGATTTTCACACATTTTTTTTTTCATTCATATTATTCATTTTTCAATTGTTAAATTGGATAAAGTAAAGAAGAATCAAATGACGTAAATGATCATATATGTGCAAAGGAGAAAATGTTTCGGCTTTTTAGTCAAAATGATTCATGAAATTGATATAACTCCTCACTTTTGTATTTGACAATGAAAATCGATAGAATTGGTTTATGAGTTTGCCCACTGTAAATCATTTTGAAGGGGTTGGTTTGACAAAAATACCCTTAAAAACATGGTCACGGGGTTGTTCACTTGACAATTTAACGATAACATCTATAAATTTTTCATGGAATGACCAAAACAAACTCATGGACCATTTCTATCGATTTTTATTGTTAGAGACTCAAATGAGAAGTTATACCGATACTAAAAAGCTGAAAAGTCCCCTATTATTAATTTCTTTTTAGAGTTGTACATTCGATGTACACACCCTTCTTAAAAGAAAAAAATTATATGCACTGTCATGTGAAAAAGTTTTATTTTTCTTTTTTGTCAATATTTTTTTATTCAATCTTACCTTGTGAGAAAATTAAGCCTAATTAGTTATAGACAAATATCTTTACAGACCTTCTAGAAGGCTTGATCCGTACGCCACGTATCTCTCTCCAACTTAAACTTTTTTACAATGACAAAAAGTCGTTTATTTAATTCCCCGAGATATAGAGCTGTTGAATTTTTATACAGCAGTTTGCTTCAGATAGCATTTTAAAGGTTGAAACATCAATAACAAGAAAGCTTTTTTCTATTAAGTGAGGTCGGCTATACGAATCTTAGAACGTCATTATATTAGGTTCTGTGTCATGTCTTCCCTTAGATCCAAGTACTTTGAGTCTTTTTTTTTAGAGTTTTCCAAAGTTTTTATAGGTCTTCTTCTATCTCTTCGATCCTAGACCTCTGTTTCGTAGTTGCATCGTCTAACCAAAGCATCAATAGACTTTCTTTGCACGAGTCCAAATTTTAAAGGTTGAAACGATTCTTTAAATCTCTTTCCCTTTCATACATTTATTAATTAACAACTCTTGTCAAATTTTCAAGTTTGAAACCATTATTTAAATCTCTTTCCCTTTCATACATTTATTAATTAACAACTCTTGGCAGATGAGTTTCCACTCTCTCTCTCTCTCTCTTACGTTCAAAGTTTGGTGCTTCTCTAGCTACAAGTCAAAACTGGCAAGCTAGCCATCGCCCAGCTGCTTCACATAAAACACAGAAGGAAAAGAAAAAGAAAAAATCAAAATCCGAAAAATAAGGTGAAAAGCACAGTTGAAGCAATGCCTTCTTGTCCTCTTTCATAAAGTTGAACACTTTGTGAATTTTGATTGCAAAGTTTCAGTCTTTTTCTTCTGGGACTTCAGAATTCTAGCTCAGCAAGTTCTTTTCCTGCTGGGCTTTTGCTGGGTTTCTTGCTGGGTTTGCAGATCATTCTGTTTTCTGAATTGGGTAAGTTTCTGTTTCTGAGATTTGTTCTCAAAAACTGGTTCTTTGGTGGATTGAGAAAATTGTTTGACTGGGTGGGGGATTGTGGTGGCTGTGTGCACCCGTTTATGTGTTGAAGTGGTGGATTGAGCAAAATGGGAGGTGGGAGTAGAAGAAGAAGAAGGCATCATTTTGGCAGAATCCATGCTTTTTCATGTGGGAAAGCTTCCTTCAATGGCGAACATTCACGGATTGGCGGCCCTGGGTTCTCGAGGGTAGTTTACTGTAATGACCCTGAGTGCTTGGAGGCCACGCTTCGGAACTACGAGGGCAATTATGTCAGAACAACTAAGTATACACTTGCTACATTCTTGCCCAAGGCAGTGTTCGAGCAGTTCAGAAGGGTTGCCAATTTGTACTTCCTCATTTGTGCAATTCTATCTTTTACGCCGCTTTCGCCTTACACCGCCGTTAGCACCGTCCTCCCTCTCGTCGTCGTGATCGGAGTTACGATGGGGAAGGAGGCTGTTGAAGATTGGAGGAGGAAAAAACAGGTATACTTTTTATGTTAATAACATGTTTGGTGCATTTTTCATGTGGTATAAGATGTATAGAAATTCTCTGCACAGAACGTCACGCTTTGAGACAACCTCGTTTCGACTTAAATTTTGTAACTTTGATCTCATTTGGTAACAGGGTTTGATTGTTCGGTGTATAGAATGTTCGTTTAGATCTTCGATTTTAGTTTCTGAGTATCAAAATTTAGAACTAATCTGAGGTTAGAAACCAAAAGACTAAGCTCAGAGTAATGACTGTATAGGTTAAAACAATCAACCATGTCAATAACTGCGACCAAAATTGAAGAAAATCGAGTAGAAGTGAAGTTTTCTCGACGTGTCATGTCTTTGAGAAAGACAGGGCGTCCTGGATTTGACTATATTTAGTGCTATTAGTAATGGTAAAACAGTTTTGTAATCTAGTTTGTAAAACTGTGATCAGGACATTGAAATGAACAACCGAAAAGTTAAGGTGCATCGTGGTGAGGGCACTTTTGAGCTTACCAAATGGAGGGATTTGAAAGTTGGGGATATAGTGAAGGTCGAAAAGGACGAGTTTTTTCCTGCTGATCTTATCTTACTTTCATCAAGCTATGATGAAGCGCTTTGCTATGTTGAGACCACCAACCTTGATGGGGAGACTAATTTGAAACTAAAACAAGCACTGGAAGGAACTTCTAATCTGCACGAAGACTCGAGCTTTGAGAATTTCAAGGCTGTAATCAGATGTGAAGACCCAAATGCAAATTTGTATTCATTTGTTGGCACTATGGAGATTGAAGATCAACCGTACCCTCTTACGCCACAGCAGCTTCTTCTTCGTGACTCCAAGCTGCGAAACACTGATTTTATATATGGGGTGGTAATCTTTACAGGTCACGATACAAAAGTTATGCAGAATTCAACAGATCCTCCTTCTAAGAGAAGCAAAGTTGAGAAGCGGATGGATAAAATTATCTACTTCTTGTTTTTCCTCTTAGTTCTGATGTCTTTTGTTGGGGCAATTGTCTTCGGGGTTAATACTAGTAAAGACCTGGATGATGGGAAATTGATCAGATGGTACCTCAGACCAGATGATACCACAGTTTACTATGATCCGACAAGGGCACCGCTTGCAGCAGTTTTGCAATTTTTAACTGCCATTATGCTGTATAGTTATTTGATCCCCATTTCCTTGTATGTGTCAATAGAAATTGTCAAAGTTCTTCAATGCACTTTCATAAACCAGGATGTGCACATGTACTATGAGGAAACTGACAAGCCAGCCCGAGCGCTTACTTCAAACTTGAATGAAGAACTTGGCCAAGTTGATACTATACTTTCAGATAAAACCGGAACATTAACTTGCAACTCAATGGAATTTATCAAGTGTTCTATTGCTGGCACTGCTTACGGGCGTGGAGTTACTGAAGTTGAGAGAGCTTTAGCTAGGAGAAAAGGCGAGGAGTTGACAGAAGAAGAGATCCATGCTGAAGAATTGAGTGAAGCCACATCGATAAAAGGCTTTAATTTTATGGATGAAAGGATCATGAATGGAAAATGGGTTAATGAGCCTCGCGCAGATGTAATCCAGAAGTTTCTGCAGTTACTTGCAATCTGTCATACTGCAATACCTGAAGTTGATGAAGAAACCGGAATTGTATCATATGAAGCTGAATCACCAGATGAGGCCGCTTTTGTGATTGCAGCAAGAGAGTTTGGGTTTGAATTTTATGAAAGGAGTCAAGGAAGCATCTCATTGCATGAGTTAGACCCTATTTACGGAAGAAAAATTGAAAGGTATGCTTCTTGCATTTCAGTTTAGCTGCTATATGATATATGTTATTCTCAAGCTATTGTTGAATTTTCATAAATAAATATTTAACTGTGTACATTTTCCTTTTTTCAGAACTTATAAACTTTTGAACATATTGGAGTTTAGTAGTTCAAGAAAGCGGATGTCCGTAATTGTAAGAAATGAAGAGGGAAGGATACTACTGCTATGCAAAGGCGCTGACAGGTCTGTTAACTTACTCCTTGCTAGTCTAATTGAGTTTCTTGATAATCAAATGAAATTGTGTTTGTTGTATCATGCATTATATATAATGTGCTTATTCCACAAACAGTGTCATGTTTGAAAGACTTGCAAATAACGGAAGGGAGTTTGAAGAGAAGACTAGGGAACACATTAACGAGTATGCTGATGCTGGTTTGAGGACTTTGGTACTTGCATATCGCGAACTTGACGAAGAAGAATATGATGAGTTCAACAAAGAATTCACTGAGGCCAAAACGTTGGTGAGTTCAGATCAGGAGGAAATTGTCGAGGAAGTTTCAGAGAAGATCGAGAGGGATTTGATTCTTCTCGGTGCTACTGCAGTTGAAGACAAACTTCAAAATGGGGTGCGTTTTAATTTTTACTGGTAGTCTGGTACTGCTCGTGATGACTTTGTTGGAGATTTGTATAACATTCAAGACTAAATATCATTTTTCTCTTTTGTTCTTTTCTGTGCTGAACAGGTTCCCGAATGCATTGACAAGCTTGCTCAGGCGGGAATTAAAATATGGGTTTTGACTGGAGATAAAATGGAGACAGCGATTAATATTGGGTAGATGATTAGTGAACAGTTTTGTATCAGAAGATGGATTTCAGTATACAAATATTTCTCACTGCATACCTTTTTGCTTGTTTTTCTCTTTCCAGATATGCGTGCAGTTTGCTTAGACAAGGAATGAAACGAATAGTAATAAGCTCTGAGACTGCAGAAGCTAAAGCATTAGAGAAGGTGGAGGATAAGACGGCAGTAACCAAGGTAAACCTAATTTCTTTTGCAATATTCTTCTTTCTTCCACTTCAGCTCTCTTATGGCGTAATATGTGATTCAGGCTGTAGTGCTGTAAATGGATTATAGATTCGTGTTTTAGTTACTGCATTGACACTTAAATCGGACTTTTAACATGCTAGGGTTCGAAACTGTTCTCTCTTGGCTGATAAAATGTCATGCTGTGAGAGTTTAATGAAACCATGCTGATTGTACAGGCATTGAAGGAAAGCGTAGTCCATCAAATAAGTCAGGGAAAGGCCTTGCTTGCTGCACCAGAAGAGAACTCTGAGGCATTGGCTTTGATCATTGATGGGAATTCCCTCGCTTATGCCTTAGAGAACGATGTCAAGGACCTCTTTCTAGAGCTTGCCATCGGCTGCGCATCTGTTATATGCTGTCGTTCATCTCCCAAGCAGAAAGCACTTGTAAGTTTTTCCCCTTTGCCTCCACTAAATAAGTTCCAAAAGTATAAAATCATTTTCTTAGATATATGGTTTGTAAAGAATTAAGTCCTAAATAGTTCTATTTAAAATAATGCAGGTTACAAGGCTGGTAAAAGATAAAACTGGCAACACAACTCTGGCCATTGGTGATGGGGCAAATGATGTTGGAATGCTTCAAGAAGCAGATATCGGAGTTGGTATCAGTGGTGTTGAAGGAATGCAGGTAAATTCTTAACAAATTGCACTCATCATCTGTTACTTCTATTTCAAATTTCTTCCGCATGATGAATTCTGACTTATCCTTTCTGCCAATCAAAAATTTCAGGCAGTCATGTCAAGCGACATTGCAATTGCACAGTTCCGATTTTTGGAGCGCCTGCTACTTGTACATGGCCATTGGTGTTACAGAAGAATCTCATCAATGGTAAATTCTTTTCTTTCTAGAATTCAAATAATAGCTTTTTTTTCATCTCATTTTCTTTGTATTAATCTGTAATACATTCAGAAGCTATTCTGAATTCCATCATTCTTGTTAGACAACTATTAGACGTCAAAAACTTTAGTTATATGAAATACAGACTTCTTATATTTAGAATTTATATGTACAATTATAGTATATGTTGTTGACATACTTCTTTTCTTGTCTAACAGATATGCTATTTCTTCTACAAGAACATTGCTTTTGGCTTCACCATTTTCTTCTATCAGATCTATGCTTCATTCTCCGGCCAAACTGCGTACAATGATTGGTATCTGTCACTATACAATGTCTTCTTCACGTCACTTCCGGTGATTGCCTTGGGAGTTTTTGACCAAGATGTCTCGGCCAAGTTATGTCTCAAGGTAGGTCCTCCTTACTTGAAAAGATAACTGGTGAGAAATTCATGAGTCTTATTTGCAATCAGAAATATAGCATATGATCCTATGGTGATCTTTAGTCTCTCTCTCTCTCTCTCTCTTACAGTTCCCGCTATTGTACCAAGAAGGTACACAAAATGTCTTATTTAGCTGGCTCCGGATACTTGGATGGGCAATGAATGGGGTGGTGACTGCTACCCTAGTCTTCTTCTTCTGCCTTGTGGCAATGGGCAGTCAAGCCTTTCGTAAAGGCGGGCAAGTGGTTGGCTTGGAAATCTTTGGTGCGACGATGTACTCATGTGTGGTATGGGTCGTCAACTGTCAGATGGCGCTGTCCATCAACTACTTCACTTACATACAACATCTCTTCATCTGGGGTGGCATTGTGTTATGGTATATATTCCAGTTGGGATATGGAGCCCTTGACCCCGACATATCGACCACTGCATATAAGGTGTTCATTGAAGCCTGCGCACCGGCTCCGTTTTATTGGCTTCTCACACTGTTTGTTTTGATCTCTTCCCTCCTGCCATACTTCATTTACGCAGCCATCCAAATGCGGTTTTTCCCAATGTTTCACCAGATGATACAGTGGATAAGAACAGACGGGCAATCAGATGACCCCGAGTTCTGTCAAATGGTGCGGCAGAGATCCCTAAGAAGCACAACAGTAGGTTACACAGCCCGCATCGAAGCAACATCTAGACGCTTTGGAGAGAAGCTCGAGGTTCATTAATCAGCGGCCTTATTTTCACGTTCCTATCCAAAGAATGTACATTATACCAGTAAGAAGTTTCTTCTCTTCTACATAATGGTTCAAGAGCATCTTCCCAGAGATGAGGGTTTGACTCGAACCTGAAGCACTCGTGTCCTTCCAAGTTTTTCGCGTAGGATAGTTCGGTTTCTCGAAGCTCCAAAGATCTACGCTTTAATGTTCATGTAGAGAATAGTATAGTCAAAATATTGTATCATGTATGATGTATCCGATGTATCATAAACCACAATGTTCAATAAAGAAAGGGTTAGCGAATGTTTGAGATTGCTTTGGAAAAGCGCTTGCATATAAATAAAGGGTAAAGTGAATAGTATCATGATTGACTTTTTAGTGTTAAAATGTGGTTTTTCGTTAGTGAACAGTACCTGAAACTTTTTGTTAAAGTTTCCATTAATGAAACGTATAAAGAAAAAAAAGTACTCAGATTGTCAGTTTGTTGGTCAGAAATTAGTCAAAATCGTAACAAGGATTCAAAATCTACGTCAGTCAATAAGCAGGTGAGAAGATTTTCTGTTCTTTTTTCTGTTTTGTTTGGAAAATGCAGTAGAGATGAACATGTACCATCAGATTTCTATAGATCAAACCTCAGGTCATGAGGCAGCAAGGCCTAGAAAACTCGACGCCGATTTCGCCATTATTGTAGCAAATTCATTGAAACTAATGACACCATCTCCATCCGTATCAGCCTCTTTGATCGTCTCCGTCACCTCCTTATACGTCAACGGTTGCCCCATTTTCGCCATGGACCATGCCAGCTCTGCCGCAGTAATGTAACCGTTGCCGTCATGTTCAAAAGAGCGAAAAACCTCCAAGAGTTGCTTTTGGTTTACCATAATCTCCTCGTCCATGTCGGGCAATATGGCACTGACCAGCCCGTCGAATTCCACGGAGCCATTGCCGTTTGCATCCATGTTGGCTAGGAGGACGTGGACTTGGTCACCGGAGGACTTGAGGCCGAGCGAGCGGAGGAGGGTGGTGAGCTCCAAGATGGTGAGGCTGCCGTCGGAGTCCATGTCGAATCTTGCAAATATGTCTCTTAGCTGGTTGATTTGATCAACTCGTAGTGCAGGCATTAGGGTTATAAATAGGGGTGTAGTATCCGCACATCTCTTTTTACTTCTCACACCTCCTTTTAATTTTCGACCGTTGGATTAGATGAATTGAAGAAGATCAACACATAGAAATTAACAAAGGGTGTGAGAAGTAAAAATGGGTGTGGATAGCACACCCCTATAAATATTGTTACAACAAAAAAAGTGATACAATGCGCCAACAGTTAATGAGAACGTATGGTTTGTAGCACAATGTGGCAATATATTTGGTATTAGGAGGTGGTTGTGGAGGCGGAGGAGATGAAGGTGGTGGTTTGGTTTGGCGTGTTGAGAGAGAGAGAGAGAGAGAGAGAGAGGTGGTTTTTTGGGTGGTGAATGGAATTTGAAGGCTAAAATATGGTGTGGGGGAAGACAACTAAGGACTGGAACATGAGTCGGTGGTTTCTTTTTTGCCTTTTTTGTCACACGCATAGGGAATCATATGAATAGAAGGCTTCTTGGAAGGAAGCTAAATTTTGGGCCATTTTTCTTGAGTTGATTAAATTATTTTAACCTCTTACACATGTTTAATTTTGATCGTTAATTCTATTTGACTTATTTAATTTAATGGTCGAAAATTATAAGGGGTGTGATAATTACTCTTCCTTTAGAATATCTGTAAACGTGGTGTATAGTTCTAAAGTATATTATAATACGAGTGACGACATAGTTTGATACATCGTCTTTAAATTGTATATTTTAAAAAAAATTACACGTGTTATAGTTTGCATAACACAACGTGACTGTATTTCAGTTGAAAATTTTATCGTATTGTTGAATCAAAGCAGCTGAATTAAGGGAAAAGATTAATTAAGGATGTGCAAGGCTGGATCCATGCATGCAAGTCAAACCAAATCTTTATCCTTAGTAACACTTTCAACCATGATTCCCATGTACAGCCCAGTTGAGGTGTCTTGCTTTCTAAACCTTCAACACTGCTTCCAATCCAATTAATATATATACCAAATAATAATACAAAGAAATCATACCACAGAAATTTAAATTTGTTTTAAATAGAATCGAAATAATTTGATTGATCAATAAAACCACAGAATTAACATGGGATTTTAAATTGGAGCTCCATTTAAATTTGTAACGGACTTTACTTTTTGTTATTTCTTGAATAATTTTCTGCAACCGTGTCTATCAAAATTAAAACAAAGTCAATCAACATTTATGCTAAATATTATACATGATACCTCCTAAGAACCTAAAGAATATTGTACATGATATTAATCAATTTCTCATTAATACAAGATTAATACATGACCAAATACAAGATTAATATTGTACATGATATCAATCAATTTCTCATTAATTATGTGACCAAATACAAGAACCTTAAGAATGTTATAGATTAGCAGATGACGCTTTATCGCAAAGGCGGAAAGCAATAATACTTATGCATTATAGTGTTCAATTCCCATTGATCTCCTCCCCCTAACATTTAACAATTTAACCCCATCTCCCAATTAGAACATTACATCTTCAAAATATACAATCAAGCCTTCTGGGGAGGAACTTCATGGTCACCTTCTTTAACCCTAGCATCACCTTTCTTTTCTTGACTAAGATCCATGACCATCACCTTTGATCCAACTTCGAGGTCATGATGAGCAACCATGCACTGCAGCTGCCGGCACTTGCGCTTCAACCACCCGAAACAATCGATTCTATCCCTGATGCTCTCCACCGGAGTCGGTACCATCTGATCACGAGTCAGCCTCCGGCCCAAAAAGCACGACAGAACTGCGAGGATGGTTAGGACGGAGATCACTGCAAAGAATGGCCCAATGGAACCCGAAGACGAAGAAGAAGAAGAAACTAAGGGTACTGCTTGGGGAATATTATTACTGCTACCACCACCACCCCAGATTTGATCGCCCGCTGAACCAGGCAATGTTTGTGATGTTGTTTCCATGGCTATAGAAATTTTTGAAGCAGACAATCAAGTTGCATTTAGATGCAAATATATAGCTATATATAGAGAGAGAGAGAGAGAGAGAGAGAGAGATGTATACATATGTACATAGTACAAATTTAATGTATAATTTTTGGTGGCCATAGCTTCACTGCATGCTTGTATGAGTGGAAGACATGATGGAAAGTGGCAAAAGCAGTGACTTTTCTTTTCATATCTTTTTGTTTAATCTTCTTTTTTATTTGAGGATGTGGAGTTTTACTTTAGCTTTGCCTTGCGTGGAGATGGCCACATCCATAAAAGCTGACTTTACATCACCCTTTTATTAAATTTCTTATCCATCAAGTTTACTTAATGATTAATCTAAATGACAAGTCTCTTTCGTTGTTTGGGAATAATTTAATGAAATTATAGGTCTTGTTTCACTTTGTCCTCTGAATTTTTAATTTGACTTTGAACCTCTCTAAACTTTATATTCGTTCAAATGTCATTTGATCGTTAGTTTATCAGTTATTTCATCAAATTAAGGGATTATTTTGTCCACTTTGAACAATAGAAGTCTCTGATTTTAATGCAAAAGGGTAAATTGTTGTGTCGATTCTTAACATAGAATGCAGCTGTGAAAGTTGGAAAAATATTTGAGTAGGTCAAATTTGTGAAGTGTAGTTCAATTTTGTAAATAAGATGACACCAAATAGTGAAGAAAAAAAAAAGCAAGTCCAAATAATATGTAGCCCCAATAGAAAGAGTAAGGATCCTTGTCAAACACTAAAGCCACGTTTACTAATCCGTAATCAAATTGAGAGGAATTGGATTGAGGGGGAATTGAGGAGGAATTGAAATGAGGTGGAATCAGAATCTGATTCCTGTTGAAGTTGTTTACTAAAACTTACAGGAATCGGAGTAGGAATGATGTTGAGTCCATATAAGTTGTTTACTAATTCATTTCAATCGGAATGAAAACTAGGTTGATTACTATATTGCCCTTACATAAATAAATTATTTTCATACTAATTAATTTAATTAAATTCTTAATTAAATTTATATAATAAAATTCATCTATATAAGCATGTATAAATAGGTTTTATTTATTTATTAAAAGATGGCAAGAATGATGTTGAGTCCATATAAGTTGTTTACTAATTCACTTCAATCGGAATGAAAACTAAGTTGATGACTAAATTGCCCTTACATAAATAAATTATTTTCATACTAATTAATTAAATTAAATTCTTAATTAAATTTATATAATACAATTATCTATATAAAAATATATAAATAGGTTTTATTTATTTATTAAAAATGACATAATGAGTGTCAAATAAATGGCAATGTTGGGATAATAAAAAACAAGTAAGGGCATAAATGGAATAAAAGATGCATTCCTGATTCCTTTGCCCTTAGGGAATTCAAATACCTCACAAAAAATATTTTTAATCATTTCAAAAACACATTCAAACGAGCTCTAAAAATCTCATTAATCATGCGACGAGTAAGAGAGAGCGAGACTCTATTTACAAACATTAAAGTAAGTTATTTTCCAATATGAACTTTCGTTTAAAAACGCTCGTACTTGATAGTTTAGATTTAAGGCCTAACCCATCCTTGATGAAAACGATTAAAAGCCTGCCATGGCTCGATCCGTTTTACGACTTTGGGCTGTAGCCATATGCCAATCGGTCTGTATGAGCTTCGGTCGTCAATCCTCATAGACGAATCTGACCTGTGGACTGCGTTGGGTCCCTCGATGGATTTAACATTAATGGACGGCAGAGATCTTTCACCTTCATTTAATTATTATCTATTTATTTGATGTATTGGCTGTATGATTTTTCTCTGTCAAACAATAGATTTTATTATATTAAATGTTAAATTAATTATTGATAGAGTTTGAATTCACACCGTCATATAAAAACTCAATATTTTTCCACCACTATAGTAAAGAGCCAATTGCATATTGACTATATGATTGGAGGATGGATTAGCCCGAACGAGACGAGGGCTTTTGTAGCATACAAAACTCAACATATTTCCAGCACTATGGTAAATGGTCACTTGCGTATTGGCTGTATGATTGGGGGATGGAGTAGTCCGAACGAGGGCTTCTGTAGCGTACATTTGTAAATACACATGTTATTTATACATTTTATTTTATAACCATTGGATTAATCTGAACGGTTGTAATTAAAATTTGAAGCTGTACGACGAAAAATTGTGACCCATCAGAATGATCTTTCTATCTGCCTTTCTCTCCTCTCCATCGGTCAAACCCAGCGCCCCTCACCGGCGCCGGCGTCACTCTCGTTCTCTCCGTTAAAACCCAGCCCCCGCCACTTCATCTCTCTTTCTCTTTGCCTCCGTTTTTAATGCTTGTCCGTCTGAAGTTCGTTTTCCTTTGGGTTAAACAGGTCTGAAGCTTTGGTTAACGCCTTAGTTTGCACAGCAGATGCGTCGTGGTGGTTTGCTGGGGAATTTGGTTTAAGAGAGGGAAGGTGGTCCAGTTGAGAAGAGGGCATATGAGTTTGCCATTGTCAAGAGAGAGACGATGAGATGCAAACTGCGGAGGGAGAGAGAGAGAACAGGAGTTCTACAGGTTTGCAGTTCGGTGTTTCTCAGACCTAATTGTAACTTAAATATAATTTTGATCTCTTTATTAATTCGTTCAAAACCCACGTTGCCTTAAATACCCCTTGAAAATACACTGTACTACATCCGGTCCGTGACTAAGTCAATGAAATGTTAAGCAGACTCTTTCAAAGTAAAACGACTTTACGAACTTTCTAGTTTAACGTTAATTTTTGTTATCAGTCCCTTTCAAAGTAAAACGACTCTCTGCAGTTTCTAGTTTAAGGTTAATTTTCGTTGTTAGACTCTTTTAAAGTAAAACGACTCTTTGCACTTTCAATTTTAACGTTAATTTTCATTGTTAACGTTATAAAATATTATGTTAAAAACAAAAAACGACAGAGTTAATTGAGAGACTTTTGAGAGAGTATATTTAGCATTTCTTGTTAACTTATTAACAAACTCATGAGAGAGAAGAGAGAGGGAGAGTATGCGTGATGCGATTCTCCAGATTCCTGGGCTCAATCCGTTTCTCTCACACCCTATAAATACATGCATCAGCGTATGTATGTAAGTATATATTATTATTATTTTATATAATGTTGTTGTGAGATCTCTGATTTTGTTGTGAGATCTCTCATTTCTTAGATCTACGGTTGGTGATTGACATATTTTTGTCTTTGTTTTTTCTTTTTAATTTTTAATTTATGAAATAATTATTGGTTGTTGGGGTCGGGTGGGAGTGCACTGGAGGCAGCGGTTCATCGATCTGTTTATGAGATTTGTTGTGAAAAAACACAGAACATGAATCGGTCGATAAACCTC